ACCCCGGCGAAGGGTCTTCAACCGGCCGCCTGTGCGCATGCTTAAGCAGCGTTAATCTTTTGGAATCAGCTGGAACTAAGTTTTTCCTTGGCACATGGGTGAATAATAAATTTTCAGGCATGTTGCACCGTACCAATAGTGTTATTTGTCAGTCGGTCAGGAGCTTTTCCTCCCTGGGCAAGAAAATCGTCTTCGATACTAGCGTCATCTATTATAAATAGTGGCGTTATCTATCGAAAAGCCTCTTTCCTTTTTCCAAACTACCGACACCTGATGAATTAAATGTTTCTAATTTGATGTTAAATAGCCGTTAGTTAAGTATAGAGCCTATATCAGAAGCATATCAATGAAAAAATTACTGATAGATAGTAAGTTCACTTTTATGAAAAAGGCGTTATTAATTGGTATTGGAGGTTGCAACTGTTTACGCATCATTGTGATATTGATTTGCAGTTAATGTGCTTGTATGGGTTTTAAGAGGGTATAAGTTCGGTTTGCCGGTATTCAAACGTTCCTTTCGCGTAACTACTTGGATAAGCATGCCGAAGGCTACGAGGTCACGTACAAAGCATTTTGTGATAGGTCACCCGGCGCCCCTGTCCCACCAACGACTGCCGACTAAGGGGAAGCCTTAGCTTACATCAGACGGCTAAGGGAATCAAACAAGAATCCCATTAATACCGTCTTCAAGACCGTGGCGGCTGAAATCAGTAAGCTTTGGACGAACGAAAGGATTCCCGTTCATGATATAGAATGCGTCACAAAAGTTATCAAGAGGGATTGCTATGAACCATACAAAGCTATCAGCAAAATACCAAAAAGGAAAGAGAAGGACAGTACAGCGTCGCTACCGCGAAGTTCAATAAGCTTCTCGATATATAGCAAACAATAAGCAACATGTAAGTGCGAGTCCCAGCGCAGCTACAAATGCCCAGCTGCCTACAGACTGCCGGTAAAAAAGGTTGCTTTCTTATCAGACCAACACACGCACCGGAGGCTTTCCCTGGAGACGTATGACTGGGCTACGGCTGTAGCTAGGGAGGCTCGCGAGGTCCGGAGGATGACCAGACAATTCCAGGAGCGTCCTAGCTCAAACACCAGTGGGGCGGTGTGTGCTGCTAAACCTGAGTCGCCTCCCCCGCTGGCTGCTGAGCCCATGCTGCCTGCTGAGCCAGCGCCGGCTGCTAGTGCTGAACTCGAGCCTGCTCCAGGACCGAGTGGTCTCAGCTCTAGCGAGTCAGCCGAGAGTGCGGAATCTGGCACGGCTTCGCGCGTGGCAGAAAGTGGCGACGACGTCGATTTCTTTGTTCCGGATGAGGTTGCTGTCACTGCAGATCGCGACTTTAACGATCCCACCAACACCGCTCTTGCGGTTGACCGCTACAGTGTCTCGAACCTGGCGCCTGCTGCCATCATTAACGCCTTCCAACATGACAGCAGAGGCGGACTGGCTGCTTCAGATGTCGTAGATCCTAAGAAGATCTGGCGCGCAAGAGACAAAGCGAGAAAAGAGGCGGCGCATCAAAATGCGGAATCAATCTACGAATCAGGTTTGACTAGTCTCTACTTCGATGACCGCAAAGGCAGAACCTGTGTGACACATAGCCATGTGAATGCCGTAGAAGAACACGTGGTTGTCATCACCGAACCAGGCAGCCGCTACGTGACCCACTTCACGCCCAAGTCCGGCCGCGCCCGGCAATTGCTCAACGAGCTTCACTCCGTGAGCCAGCTGTTCGACGGTCACATCAAGGTCCTCGGATGCGACGGCACGGCCGCCAACACAGGGATTACAGGTGGAGAGTGCCGGCTGTTTGAGCTGTCACTGAATCACCCGTGCACTGGTTCATCTGCCAGCTGCACGGCAATGAGCTGAATTTACGTCACCTGCTGCTGGGCCTGGACGGCACGACTACGGGACCGAAATCTTTTTCTGGACCCATCGGTAAGATCTGCGCCGGAGAGATCTGGAAAACGGACGTTGTGGTATTCAAGCCTGTGCCAGGCATGTGCCAAACCTGCCTGTCGACCTGGTCCAGCAGCTGAGCACCGACCAGCAGCTGCTGTACCTGCTGAACTCAGGCGTACAAAACAGCTCCGTCCGGACCGCGACAGCTCGGCGGCGAATCGGACCACTGGACCATGCCAGGTAAATATGAAAGCACGGTGTTTTCTGATTCCGGACGTTTTTAACTGCATTTGCGAAAAATATCATGCGTATTGATGAGACAGCAATAATAGCCTTATTCCACGCGGAATATCGAGGAAGGTGGAGAACTAGATATATTGATATTTCGGAGATTACGTAAACCAAACTACGTTATTAGTACTGTCGCCAAGCAAAACCAACACTATTAGTACTGTCTTGTCATCGAATTCATGGCAATGAATGTTGAAACTTTCTCACGCATCATCTGGCATTTCAAATACTCATCATTAAGCACATACTCATTACAATGCGTTGTGCCATAGTATGTCATCATTTACTCGTTGGTTCCTGCTTACGAGTATACTTGCTGATAAGTGTTGCCGTCGCGTTAAAATTGAAATTATTTTTGTGACCTAATGCTCAGTTCGGGACGAATTGTTTTAAGTGTTCTTGTTACTTTGTTTTCCGATGGTTGACACTGGCTACTCGCCTGCCCCGAGCTAACATCTCCACAGAGACTCCCAGCAGGGTCTGAAGGACCTCGTCCAGGGCATGGTTGGCCACTATGTGCCGGTGTGGTTCTCCATTCGACAGAACAGCAGCTGTGACGTGGGCTCACGCAACCTGTTCAGAAGCTTCGCGCTGCTCCGCGAGCTGCCGCTCGGTGCAGCCAGTCGGTGCAGCCACAAACCACGGTGCAGCCAGTCATCCAGCGCAACGGGAACTGGGCCCGTCCGAAACAGCTGCTGCTGGCCATGGTGGCGGACGGGGACCGTGTGGTCCGCGAGCAGGCGGTTCAAATCATCAGCGCCGCGCTTGGGCAACAAACCGAGGGGCCCAGGATCCTCGCAATCTCAACGATCAACTTCGAAGCCGTGAGCCACACGGGGCTGATCTCCTGGCGCGAACCAGTCACGCACCCCCCCCCCCCCCCTCTTACGACACCTCAGTGACGGGAGCTGCGAAGCATAGTGCACGCTTCGTTGCCCATTCCGCCTTATCCGGTTCATACCCAGGCGGAGTGGGCCGTGCGCACCGTCACCGAGGCATGTTCGGCGCTGATGGGAGAAGAGGCGCGGCATGGCCTCATCACGGCCAAGCTCATGCACCGACATATTCTCCCCACTGTCAACTCTAAGAAGAATCTGCTCTGAAGGTAGGCAGGTAATTATCAACTGATCACATCCTCAGAGGTGTTTTACCCCCGTTTCAGCTTAAAGCTACTCCAGCCCTTCAAATTCACATTCATCTCAATGCCAAAATTGGGCCAATTGCAAATTGCAAATGCGTGCATGAATACAACATGCATTGTTTCACTTTAAAGCAATTTCATGACTTTTGTGCTTTCATCGCAAATGTGCTATTGTGCTTTCACTTAAATGTGTCTGTTGCAGGTGGTCGTAGCAGCAGGCACCAGTACGGCAGCCGCCGCCTCCGCATCAATGCGTGCGACCGCTGCGCAGATGCAGGACAGTCTCGAGAGGAGAGACCAAGGAGCGCACCGCTGGACCAGCATTCGGCGCTGCTACAATCAGCACGTACTGGTGGCGACGTACATTACTGCGGCGACGGCCAGTCAGCATTGGTGACTGCAACGCCGGGCGCCGGTTTACGACGATATTTCGATCGGCTCGCGCTTCACTAATAAAAGTTTTTGGGAAGAAATTTTGCTATACTGTGCACTTTGGACTCTAGCACCAACGAATTTCTTTGTCTCACTTGGTTTTGTTACTGATGACACGCCCTACTGTATATATCGATCGGTTGCCAAATTATTGACAGGAGCTGTAAAACTTCGCATCCGGATGCACGGACCTAACCCCTCTATACCTGCATCGGAGACCAGCAATGCTCCTTACGCTTTGTGAAAACTCTTTTTTCGAGCCTTGACACCACCTATGGCATACCAACTATGGTATATTGAAATAACAACACCCATGATGTGAGTGTTTCAACCACTGGAAACAGCGATCACTTTTGTAAACGCAAGGCAGCGCACGTAGCCCATGCCAACCACCATCTCAGCATTATTGCCAAGTACCACTTCAGGTTCCTCCTGAAACCTCAAAATCCTGCCTCACCGGACACAGATTGCGTGCCGACTGCGAGGTGGGTGCCGCAACAAGTACTGAGCATATTCTCCGAGGAATGAGACTATTACTACTGTCCTGTCTATGGGAATTATGCTCCTTGCAAATGCACTTAACGACTTACGTAACCGCCTCGGGCCTATAAAAAAGGTATTTGAAACATCCGTATGTAGCTGGGTCCTTTGGTGTCGCACCGCCATTCATAGCCATTGTGCTTATGTTATTACGCGAACTCCGCCAAAGCTAAAGTTTGGGAACGAATGCATTGAAGTTGGAGACTCGTTTTCCCATGTGACAGTAGCAGTTTAGCAATGTGACACAAGCAAATCACAACCTTCCTTGCTGGGGGTCCGGAAACTTCAATGGAAAATAACAGGGCTGGCAGAGCCCTCGCACGATAAAAAGACTAGGTTTCGTAACTTAATTTCACTTCCTTTCCTTCTTCTGTTTCTTCTTCTTTTCCCATCCTTTTAACTTTGCCGCTCAGCCCAGTCCATTTCATGATTTAATCACACATCTACGAATTTATCCCATTCGTGAAGGGTGGAGAAAATGGAGCCCCTGCTAGAGACGTTGAATACATCACACAATGACATTAATCCGCACCAGCCTAAGATCCATGGTCTGTGAAGATAACAGGCAGCGAATCCCACAGACACTATCGCATCCAAACCCCGATACCACTTTATTTTGCCACACCACGGTCTAACGCGGCAGCGCCCAACCCCAGCCCAGCACTGACACGCTGGGATCGGGCTTACCTGGGCATCTCGATTTGATCTATCTGTGATGGTGTTCTCAGCGTCTTCTGGCTCTCCTTCAGGCTCCCAAATAGTCTCTGGGGAAAAGAAAGCGGCTATGACTATCACGAACACATGTGCGATTAACCAAGCAAAACGTGAAATGAGGGGGGATTGCCTGCTATGTACATCTTCTATGCAACCGCCTTGTGCTCTTAAGCCCTCCCGTGAAAGAACTTATTACCATTCCGGAAGACCATCTTACCTCACCGGAGCTTGAATACCTTTAACTCATATAGATATTTGGGCATTGTGATGTTAATATAGATATCCTTGGTTCATGTACATACCGACATAAGCTGGCGGCTAACCAAAAATTGCTTTTAACTTAAGTCGTGCACAAAGACACGTCAACAATGCTTGCATATGCTAAGACCCCTCCCACATTACTGCACGCAACATCTCCGCCAAGAAGAATAGCTGTGAGCGCCGGCGCAGCTGGATTCCCAGCGCGCACTGACCGTCGTCCGAGACGATCAGCTCGTAGCCGCGACTCTCCGGCTTGGTGACGTCCAGACCTCCGCAGATCTCTGGCGACGCCTCCCGGATGGCGTTGTACAGCTCGTCACAGCTGATGGAGACGTCAACAAAAGTTTAAACGCGCATCAAGACAGACGCAAGCGGCCCAGCCAGGTACGGATGACGTGGGACATCTGCGCTGGTAGATACAGCCAGCCGCAGTTTGCCACAAACGCTTCCACGCCGGTTCCACATCTTGTCATATCCCAGGGTGCCGGTTTCGCCACGTCCTAGGTAACACCAGACTGGCACCACCACTCCCTTGACACCAATATTATGGTGACACAGACACTATTCCCTCGGACGTAACGCAGACCTTGTCTCGGTTTAGCGCACAGTGTTTGCGACAGCAAAGCACGTAGTCACAAGAGGAAGTCTGCTGTACGTGGGTGCATCCGCGGCTGGACGAAATGGACTCTGGTAGGTGGGCGCATGACTAACGTGACTCACGAAACAACTTAAGTGAACCAACACCTCGATGACCATACGCAGATCACCACCAAAGCGCGACTCCGGTAGCCAGTGGTGACGTCACTTCACGCACCAGTCGCGCGGCACGGCGAACCAGAGCTCGGAGCGGATCCGGCGCTGGCCGCAGAAGATGACGGTCTGGGAGCGCGGGATCCGCTGTCCCCGCGGCCTCCCCGTCATCAGGCGCAGGTACAGCGGCGGCTGGCGCGGCGGCGGCGTCGGCGGCCGCAGCAGCTCTGGCGGCGACGTCACGCGGCGTCATACAGCGGTGACGTCACACAGCGTCACCGCGCGGCCCGAGTGTCGCCCGCGGTGGCGTCGGTAGGGGGGGGGGGGGGGGGCGGGGGCGGGGGAGGCGATTCAGGATGAGTAGCGACGTAATGGGAATTCCTGACAGTTTACTAACTAGACCAATACCCTGAGTCGCCGCAGGTAATACGTGATAGTGAACGTGTTGATAAACTTGGCTTGGAGGCCTCGGCACATTAATCAATCGCTGGAAGCGGCTCGGGTTGCAAACTGCTTGTACATTTTGGAGCTGGGCTAAGCTAACTAAGCTTGAGTAGAAGACAAAACGCTGAACTCACCATCGACGGACAGGAAGAGCTCGGGCCTCTCGTCAACAGACACAGCGCTGAACTCACCAACGGACAGGAAGAGCTCGGACCTCTAGTCAGCGGACACAGTGCTGAACTCACCATCGACAGACAGGAAGAGTTCGGGCCTCTCGTCAACAGACACCGCGCTGAACTCACCATCGACAGACAGGAAGAGTTCGGGCCTCTCGTCAACGGACACGGCGCTCGTGAGACGACGTCGCCTCTGGCTGCTTACGTCGCTGCCCCGACTGGAAGGGGTCCTGGAACAGGGAGTCACCCTGAACGAAGATAAAACACGAACGAAGCGGTGACAGGTGATGAGCCGGCGTCGTCGACACGCTCGGTCACGTGTCGTGCTTAATGGCTGGTGGTGTGTAGGTGGATGGAGCAGGGCGTTATTGAGATTTTAGAGCAGGTCAAAAGGGCTGAAGACGCAGGAAGCCTAGCTGGCCAAAAGCGCTGAGACTGAACAGGGCATCCATTTCACGCGTGTGAAAATGACGGGTGAAGCCCTGATACCAGGAACCTTGGAAAACCGCAGACGGTACGTTTACATATTATATGCCACTGACCGTAACTCAATGCCATCCACTGAATCCACACTGGCGATCTAGTTAATCACTTGGTGGTGACGTAATATTAGGTACTGCCGGCTGGGGCGGAACCGATGATATGTTTTGCTGTTGTGCTATATTCGCTAATGTTTGTTTTGCTGATAAGATAGTACGCTCATGATAATGTTTTGCTCTGTTGCTTTTTGTTTGTCTCAAAATTATATCCAGCTTTTACGAACGTCGTTCGTTACGGGATTACCAGAGCATCAAAGACACTCCGCCAAGGTCTCGTGGGTGTTTCTGTCATTGCAAAGCCTCTCAACGATTGTTGCATCCAGCCAAAGTGAGTTTTAAAAAATCAGGGAAGCCAATCTATCCTGTCTTAATCAATCATGTTGAAAGCCATGGCGATGCCCTGTCTCTCACCGTACCCATACAGCACAACACCTCGTGTTCACGGATTTAATTTTCCATCCGCAGCTTTCTGTTGCTTCATGGGACGCACCTCCTCCCCGGACTGTATTCCACGTCAGTGGAGGCCTCGCTGGAACCGGCGGCGGCAGGAGCGGGAGAGCTGCCACTCGGTGAGGACGAAGTGTCACCCTGTGCAGAGGTAGAGGAGGTGGCCGGCTCACAGCTGGAGGACTGTGAGCCGGGATTGTCCTCGCTCATTGTGCTTGCGGGCCGCCGGGGTGAGCTGCAAAGCAGCAGCGCGACACGGTTACACACAGGCATCGCGAATGTTACCGTCGTATCAGCACCGCTGCCAGTTAGGGCAAAAATAACGCGTACGATTCGTTTCAACCCTGCTCCACCTGGGTTTGTTGTTCAACAAAACGGTGTGGATCGATGAAAAATCGATCGCAGTTGTTCGACGCCAGACGCCACCGATCAACGGGCTCACCCGCCAGACGAGTTCTCCAAACAATACTAGTAATGTAGTTCTCCACAACACGTAGTGCTGGGCACACGCGTACAGCAACGCCGTGTGGAGATGCCAAACACCAGCACATGACCTTAAGAGCCGCTGACGGGGCCCGCGCCCGCCCCCTCCGCTGACGACACCCCTCACCTGTCCGGCGCGCCGCTGGACACGAGCGGGATCTCGCTGGAGAGCGCCACACCGTACGCGTCCGGGTCCACCGACGGCGGGGCCGAGAAGCAGACCGCGGTCTTGCGAACCCGCGCCCGCCGCTTGGCGCCGCTGGCCGACGGCGGCTCGGACTGCGAACGGCGCGCCGGCGCCGCCTGGCGGCCGGCGCCGGCGTCCGGTCCGGCCGCCGGGATGGTCATCGGCGACGACAGCTGCCGGCCGGACGCGCCGTCCCTCCCCAAACGCCGCCGGGACGTCTGGTCCCGACGTCTCGCCGGTGCTCGGCGAGCTCGGGCGCTTTTCCGAGGCGATGGGTGCGCCCGACGCGGCGCCGGCAGCGTCGGCGACAGCAGCGCCATCTTCGGCGGCGTGGGGTGCGCCGTCGTCTGCACCGACCGCGCCGGCGGCGCTTGCGTCAGCACCGGGCTGGTTGACGACCGTCCGATCTCGACCAGTGCCGCCGCTGCCGCTGTCTTCATCGTCAGCGGTAGGAGAAGTTTCGTCTTCTGATTGGTCGCTTAATGCAGCCCCGTCAGCTGGCTCAGCAGCCACTGACGGCCTACGGGCAAGCAGAAATGCACGCATTCCACACACTGCCTGGCACGTGCGGGATTGCCGTGGCAGTTACTACGCGGCCATTTTAAAACAAATAACAACAAACAAAACAAGCGGCAGGCCGGGCTTCCGTTACAGTACTTATAACCACCCCAAAGCCGCATGACGAAACGGGTGGAAGGTCCATCTACTAACCAAACAATTCCCTCGTCCACAAACAAATATATCTTGGGAACGGTGCGCGCTGTCCCCGCCGCCGCTCACCGCATCCTCCGGCTGGCGCGGCCGTGGTGCGCGAGATCCTTGAAGTAGGCGGCGGACACCAGCAGGGCCACGGGCACCTCCACCGTGTACGCCTCCATGCCCATCTCCACAACCAGCGGGTGGGACACGTGTGGATCGAACTTGACGCGGTTCGGCGTGAAGAACAGCGTGCCCGTCACCACTCCCTGGCGGCATGAGGACGGACGGGGTGAGGACTGAGGATTCCGGACGGAACACACAGGGCGATTCAAGAACTAACTCTATGTGACTTAGCTGGTGTGTTGATTGGTAGCCTGTGACACTGACCAGCAGAACTACGGATAGTTTTCTTCACTCATCACTGATGCGTTGCTTGGCTGGAATGATAGAAGATCCGAAGGAGCAAGTAAAATACAAAAAAACATCGTTATCCATGACCCTAACTATTGCAAGTTTTACCAAAACCGCTAGAACAATGTACAAATGCAGTGAGCACTGTTCGGGCTGAGCAGCCGTAAGGAGCTCTCACGACACCGTTAAGGAGCACAGTAGCCCACCGTAGTGCCTGTGATGAGTTTCGCCTCGACATGAATGTATCCGTCACGTAGTTTATGCGGCAGCGCCCCAAGGAAAGCGCTGCGGTTGCCGGGGGTGGAGTAGGAACGGAAGCGCAGCCTTGGTCTTGCTCCTCCTGTTGCATGCTCCTCTTCATTAGCAGCAGCACTTCTCTCTGAAACAGAGGGCCGATTTGTGCGGGCGGAGGGGGGGGGGGGCGGTGGAGGGAGTGGGGGTTGGGGATGGGGTAAGGTGGGGGATAGCTTCACCTACGCTGAATTCCATACACTTGCCAATTCGGGAAGCTGTAACGTCAGAGTAGAGAAATACATGTCCGTTTTCCGGGACTGAATTAGATCTCCATAGATACTGGGGTTCTTTTCATAACCCGACATCACCTGGCTTAGTCTGTATCAGAGAAGTGCACCTGTTGTTATGGTCAGAGATCTGGTAATTTCTGCATTTCGGGGCACCCAAGCTTTCACAAGAGAGTATTCAAACCAGCAAGATATGCCTGCAAGCAGGACTTCCGGCACCGTAAAGGATTGCTGCTGAAGGAAAAGCGCCGTTAAGTCGGATGAGAAGACCTTCAGCACAACTTCCCGGTTAGAATCTCGTAAAATCTCATGAATACAATCCGCAAGCCCACTGCATAGCGCACAGGCGGCACGTTTCAGAGGTAGGCATCGCTGAGCAGTTTTCCGAATTCGTGACGTCCGTTCATGGTCCAAAGAGGTTTTACATGTTTCACGTCTCACGTTTCCGTCACGGAATAAATCCATCACATCTGGGAAGACGATGTTAGTAAACATCCCGCTCCGGGAGCGTTTCGGTGTGTTGCCGTGAGTAAGACCCCATCTCGATCGAGTGCATCAGTCCTTTGTGTACGAGACACTTGTGCGCAGCAGTTGTACACCTGCGTTTGATTGCGAAACACACTAGGCATCGGGGTTACGCCAACAGTTTTGGTGGCGCCTTGCCGCGATGTTAGGCCCTCGTGCAGGCTCAGGCTCAAGCCGGCGAAGTCCGCAGTCAGTGCCCAAAACCGGTACTCCTGCGGTGAACAGCTGATATTTTGACGAAGACTAGTTATGGTTACTATTTGATCACAGTTGTACCACTATTTTCCGTACTTTCCTGTAGCTGAGCCACAGGTTTCAGCAAGGGTGCAATTTTTTACTCTTCGCCTTTAAGCAAGATACACAGATTTTCACCCATAGCCTGACAGTCGCTGATGAGAACTGCATGATTGAGCTGTTGTTCAGGGTCGACGCCCTCGCAGGGTCACTTCCGCTCCAATAATTTTGCAATTTAGCATTGCTCTTCCTAGGCGTTGCAGGAAAAAAGCAGAGCGAAAAAGCTCTCCGTGTCTTCACTAGTCACCAGCCGGTAACGGCGCTGTTTTTGTTACGAAGCGCCGACTGATGGTGCCCCCCCACCCCCACCCCCCTACCCACCCGGGGTCACTGACCTTCGGCCTGCCGCAGCTGGTCCTCGGGCAAGTGACAGGGCACCACCAGCACCTGGCCGGGGAAGATGAGGCGCGAGCCCAGCCGGTTCACTTCCACAATCTCGCCCGGGTGGCAGTCGAACCTCGCCGCGATGCTCGGCACCGTCTCCCGCAGCTGCACCTGTTGGCGCCACACGCGTGCGTGTACTTAGTCATGGTGAATTGGGCCCGGGCTAAATGCGAGGATTCTGGTAATGTACATATTGTCGTTGTGCTGTGTGAAAGTGAACACAGGTTGTTGAGTGCATCATGCGAGCGCATACTTGCGTCGTCTCTACCACGTTTCGCTAGTGACACTCATTAACGCTGTGTATTCGTAATGTTATCAACGTCGACGGATGGGGCACATTATTGCTGAGAAACATATCGAACAGCACAAATACATTTTTGGATCACAAGTAGATAGCAGCAGCAAACTAGCAGCAAGAGGACCGTTCCCCTTCGTTTGTTGGGTCCGTTGGTCCAAACCGTTGTTTGGGTCCGAGTCTCCATTCACCGAATGGCCCTCTAAGACCAATCGCTTCAGGTGTCTGGGTGAAATGTCACCACTCAACACATGTTCCGGTCAATGCACAGACACCGATCACCACTGCCGGAGCAGTATTGACGAGCTAGCTAAGCACCACTCATAAGCAGCGGTGCGAAGCGCTGTCACTGACAGGGCCGTGCCGTACGGCGGCTGACGGGCACGTGCCTCCCGAGCATGGCGGCGGGCGGCGGCCTTCGATGAGCATGGGGTGACGCAACCAGATGGCAGTTGCGCATGGAAGGGAAGCAGTTGACCGCATTCTGAGATAGCCAGCGGTCGGATAGGGTGATGTGGTGTCATATGCTGCCGTTATTTAATCGTAGTGCAATAAGTGGTAAATTGGCTTATGACAAACCGTCACACTTCTTCAAAATATTTGCGCTACATGCCCGATACTACCCGCGTTACCCCTATTACATCCACTTCGTCGCCACAAGCACCGTGTAGAATTTGCCACCCGCACGGCTCACGAGCTCGAAAGTGTCAAACCCTCTCCGCCACCTTCGAACTCTTCACGACGCACTCAGCTGTCGAGGCTATGTGGCATCGCCGGCAGAAAGGGCGGCACCGCGGGGAATCGATCCACGGATCTCTGGCCCCTCTGGCGCGTAGAGTAAACACTACGATAGCGGTAACCAACTCACACATCTAGTTCAGCTATCAACACCTACATTCCAACCCGTTCCTCGTTCTAAAAACAAAAGCCTACAACTACGCTCTTCGTAAACATCGACTCCCAATTGTGCTCGGCCGTTAACACCGGAGTTAAAAAAACTTGTGCTGGGTGGAGAAGTGCAGATACGTGCCATACAACGCTACCACAGATTTGCATCGACATACTGTGTATGTGCGCATATTTAAAACTAGCTTAGCGTTACCTTGTGTCTGATCATTCGTGGCAGTTGTGCAGGGTTCCTTCTTCGTTCATCCCTGGTAGTTCGTTCATCTGAAGAAAAGTACACAAGTATTGTCAACATTATCAATATGCAGTTGAAACGGATATATAATACGCGTAAACCAAAGCAAGGTTTTAGAAATGCAACATATGTGTTGAGGAAAGCGGCATTCAAGTGGCATTGAAACCAGCTATTCGCAAAGCATCTTGTTGCATAAAAAACCATATTATTTGAGTGATATCATACCTGCTCAAGCAAAATGATCTGGACATTGGCACGCCTTTAAACACCAAGACATACATGCTTTATGCGGCTATATTGCACAGGTCATTGTTATCTCGACGATGCATGTTTTTTCCACGCACTCCATAATGCGGCCGGTCATCGTACACGGTCTCCCATTTCGCAGAGATACACCTTTGGTACTACGGTGGAAAATGTGGAAAAATCACCCAGATCGGCGAAGCTTGCCATTCGTATGTCATTCATTCATTTCCAGCCATATCATCATCCTTAGCGGCAGCCCACTTCAGGCAAACTCGTCAAGCCTTTGGGATCTCATTGATACATGTTGTTCAGAGTGCGTCGTATGGCGAGGTCACAAAAGTAGGCGTAATTTACCCTGTGAATGAGATAACGGCTATGATGCCAACCGTGCAGCAGCCGGGTGGAAATAGCTTCGACGACAGGCGTTCGGTACGATAGCCATGTTCGACACAATGCATTCATGCACGGTTTCGGATAAAGCATTTAACAAAAACGGAACCAGCCTAAGCTTCATGTACATTACACTCCTGACCGGTTGTAGGCTTAACGCAGCACGCAATGTACTCATATCAGCTACCTAAGGTTAAAGCACTTCGAGCTAACCTTTGCGTGTGGGTTTCCTCGCCGTCTGAGGTGCTCCCGAACATCTCGAAGTCTACGGCGCGATACAAAATATTTACAATGCAAAAGGGCGCGGTTCGGGCACGTACCAGAGCAGACAGCCATCTCGTCCTTTGTTCCTTGAGTCCCGAATCGACTAGATTCGGTTCGACTCAACGATTTGAGGCCCGTAGCTCCTCGAGAATATTTAGTGTCAATTTTGGTGTCGCCCCTTAGCGTTCTGATAGTATTTGGACTCATCTTGCCTCTGAAATGACTATTCAAACTAGATTAGCACATTCTTGGTGTCTTTTAGCCACTAGTTGCCACGCACACTAGTCTTGAGTTGTCCCCACAGCATGCATTAGTGCATATAGAACGGGTGGTCAAGGAGAATGCGTGGGTAAGTGAGAACTTCGAAATGGTAAGCATTGTATGTTACAGAGTCATGCATTACGCCTTCCAGGTCTTACAAACTAGTCCTTAAGCTCAGTTAGTCATTAAGCTATACAGCTAACGTACGCAATATCATATATATATATATATATATATATATATATATATATATATATATATATATATATATATATACATTGCGTACGTTAGCTACAGATAGCGTAGCTACGCAATATACTGACGTAGGCAAGAACAACCTCAAGCTCTCGGTTTTTCGGCATAATCAATTCTCATTCTAAAATAGCTGACATTCTGGGCTTAGTTTTATACTGAGATAACGATATTCAAAGTACCAGTGAACGACGTTATAGTGCTATACAATGACTACATTGGCGACACTCAATATTTCCAGCTGTGCTAATCCTCAAAAGTTGAGGATGAGCACAACTCGACATGTTGAATCCTCCAATATGTTCATTGTGTAGCACAACGTCGTTTAACCAGTGTTTCCTGCTAAACTGGAGGTAGCTAGCTCGGCCTAAAAGCTTTGAGTCTCGGCTAAGAGTGCCGAGAAGCCAGGAAATGAAGGAGCTTCTTGTTTCAAAATATCAGACCTTGCAATGCGTCAGCAGGACGCCTCTTGTGGCGCGGCCCAAGCGAAGAAATAACAAACGTGACTGTTATCAACAGGCAGCCATAAACGGACGTAAGCCAATGAAGCCAGTCGCCTTTCTGAATCGCCGCCGAAGTCATTAATCGCTCTTGATTTGTTGTCGGCGATATCATACTTGATTTACATGGCAGCTTTTGCACCGTTGCCAAGGCAGTGTACGATAAGGAATGCTTTCCAATAGCCAGGGCGTAAGGCGTCTCATTACTACCGAGCTACTTTTCGAAGCTCACGTAGGTGGTCAGAGAGCGCTGTAAACCATTTACGCGTTCGGAGCGACTTCCCGTTGTTGATCCCAGCACGTAGCAAACGAATGCGGCTCTGCTTAAGTGTGCTTGAATTGGTTCATTTGTACAACAGACAGAACAAGGCTAATAGTGACAACGTACCTTCCACAATGCTTCTCACGAATAGATCCAGTGGAATGGCCAGTTTCTTTTCCATGACGTCCATCGCCGTTGACACGTTGCCAAAAAATTAATGATTCACCCAGGGCCCACCTGCCCGTACTGACGAGTAACACAAATACAATCGTTACACACCCAAGCTTCGCATCGCTGTCACGCAACAAATTACGTACTCTCTATACGCAACACATATAACCAACCTACGATTCGGATTACGTTACGGTAAGTACTTCCCCAGCCGGAGAACACCACAGTAGACCAGCTCGACTGTCCGGAAGACTCAGCCACCGGCGCGTCCCGACCGCCCCTCAGTCCACCTCCTCCTCCGCCTACCCTCGGACCCTCCAACCCTCTGTAGCACAGCGCACCCACCCGCCTCCTCTCCGCCTACCCTCGGACCCTCCGACTCTCCGTAGCACAACGCACCCCACCGCCTCCTCCTCCGCCTACCCTCGGGAGCTCTACCGCTACGCAGAGCAGCGCACTCCACCGCCTCCTTCTCCGCCTACCCTCGGACCCTCCAACTCTCCGTAGCGCAGCGCACCCCACCGCCCCCTCCTACGCCTACCCTCGGACCATCTAACTCTCTGTAGCACAACGCACTCCACCGCCTCCCTCCTCCTCCGCCTACCCTCGGGAGCTTTAACGCCACGCAGAGCCAGCCCACCCCACTGCCTCCTCCCCCGCCTACCCTCGCGAGCTCCAACGCTACGCAGGGCGGCGCACTCCACCGCCTCAGACGGCGAACTGCGCCGGCTGACGAGCCCCCGCCTGAGAGCCGGCCAAGGGGGGGGGGGGTGACCTCGGAGCGGGCGCGGCGCGGGCGCGGCCGGCGTGGCGCTGGCGTGTTGACGGCGCCAGTCGCGGCGTACCTACAGCGGGCGGAAGAGGCCCGATGAGGCCCGCGTGGTCGCTGGCCTCTGATCGCTGCAAGGCGGGCCCCCGCCTTGCGGCAGAGTGTCACGCTCGTTGGCTGAGGGTCTGGACTGTGTCCGACCGGCGAGTGCGATACTGTATCGCCCTACCAATCACCCGACAACGTGGAGACCCTGTAGGGCTGCTCCGCGGGGCAGGGGGGATGGCAGCGCAGACCTGCTGGCGCGAGAGCGTGACGCCGGGTAGTGTCCTCTCCGCGGACAAACCTAGTAGGGAGGCTGATGACAAACACTTTATGTTTTAAATTTAAGCCTCGTAATGATCAGCCATGATAACTATCTTATGTTCACTTTTAATTATGAAGATTTCATGAGTGTTACACGTGCTCGGGTGGGGGTCAAATTGACCCCACCTCCGACCGTTCTTCCAGAACGGTTTCCGAACGGCGCAGCGTTCCCGCGCCAAATTTTGCATAGCTGTAGAAAAGTCATTAGCAGATCGTTTAGCATGAACACTTGAGATGTACCTTGTAAGATCGCTGACCTATGGCAGGGCAAAGTCAGGCCATGGTTTTAGCGAAGGCAATTTCTAGAGAATCGTCCAATCTGATAATTTAACGGAATGGTAGATGAAGTCGTACATATCTGAGATGCTTTCTCAGGTAACACAACAGTTTTATGAGCAAATCACATTGACCTGCGGTCAGGCATGAAGGTCACACCAAGGTCAAGACCAACCTGTTTTATTACTCTAGGGCTTGCTGTATGGGATAGTTTCTGGTGCTAATTTTGGGTTTATTGATAGCAGGAACCACATTATGCATCTTCCGTGGACTTGTCAGAGGTCAGAATGGGCCATTGACCTAAAATGACCTCGGTCAACATTTTGTTTTAGGAACATACCGCTTGGCGTATGTTCCCTAGCCGATCTTACTTTGTCGCTTAGTCAAATGCAAAACTCAAAGCAATCTTGTATGATTTTGGTCGCCCTGACCTTCAAAAGTTCAAACAAGGTCGCTGACCTTAAATGAGAATGTGACCTATTGCTTAGAAACGGTTATCTACGCTCTGGGGGCAGCTTGGAGACCGACCTGGAACTTGACCTTGTTTGACTTTTTTGACCCGCAGGTCATCACCTAGGAACCTGAAACTTTGACCTAAGTGAATTCACGTAAAGGTCAACACACCCTGTACGTTTGGTCTATCTAGCTTTCTTAGTTCTTGAGATCTCAGGAGGGTCAAATTGACCCCCCTCCCCACCCGAGCGAAGGGTGTCTAGCCGGCCGCCCGGGCGAGTGTTAAGCCTGCTTGATTGGAGTATCCCGGACAATACAGACACAAGACACCACGATTCTGTGAAGGGCGTGCAAGGATAATGACAACAGCAACAACAAGAAAACATCGTTGACACCTACTACGGAAAACACGAAGTCAAAACGGGTGGTGTCATTACAGGCAGTCACCGCTCCGGACTCATGAAGTCGCGCATGTTTGGGACGGAATGCTTCTAATTCATGCGTGCAAACACCACCCATGCATGCAAACACACACACAGGGAGCACGCGGCACTGCCACACAGGCGAGCGTGCATAGGTACCGTTCGTGCTTCGTATCCAAAGTCATACGCACATCCGCTCGCAATTCGTCTTCGCCGATCTTACACTTGTCAAGGCACGGCATTGCGTTCGAGCTGATCATTTTGGGCAGAATTATCAGGTTTTTGGCCAATCACGCTTCAGTCGCGCACAGAGCACAACTCTGTCATTTGCATATCTATTTCCCCTGGGTAGTTTTCCAACTGGATGGCTTCTATGAGGGGAAAGCTGCTGTTTGATACAGAATGCTGCACCGATAAACTGTACACTCTACGGATTCGAGGATGGAAAAAGTCAAAATTATGCACTCCCTGGTGCGCAACAGCTTTATATACAACTGCCCCGACCTCCAAATTGGCAATCTTTTCTCAAGTGAAAGATGGTGGCAAACGGCGCCACGCTGTTGGGGTGATGGTTAGAGCACCAGCCCCGTCACCCAGCGAGCGGGCAACGTGCATTGGGTTCCAAGTTCGTGGCGACGCGGGGTTCGATGCCCAGTCCAGACGGCACATTTTCTCAACTACGGAGACTTCTCACCAACAATTGCGTTATGTTCCTGCGTAACATATTCCCAGTTCTATAAATAATGTAACTTAACTGTTCGGGGGAGGGCGTGGGGGGGATAACCTCATAGTTCAGACCACTTGACCGGAGGGAATTGCTCCTCATGAAACAAATTTCACTGAGGCCACCTGTCCTAACGCCACGACAGCGAACGATATGTCGGGCTAACATTGTAGGAAAATAAACGGCATAAAGCATAAATATATCGATAATCCACACATCAACAAGTATACTATGACGGAAGAGGACACATGAGCAGATGAACAATGACCGACAAATGAGAATGAGAACAACGACCATGACCACGTGGCTTCCGTCACGCAGCATTTTGTGCACAAGAACCGAAAATGGGCGTGCTCCGTATAATAACGAAATACATAAAGTGACCTCCCCAAACTTGCCGCGTCAGCTACCGGGCCAAAGCACTTGCCGCTCCCAAAGCATACCGAGCGAGCCTTACTTGAACCCTGGTAACATTAATATGGTAACATTAACATCACATAACATGATAACATTTCAACTACGCCGTCGGCATTCCTGTCGCGCTCTCTAAAAACGGTAACCGACGTTGTGCGAGGATCGAATACCAAAACGCGCCTGTGGTGTACAACCACGAATCGGATAGTTGTGACATGTCAGTTGTCGTTGTGTTGGACAGGAATGTGTCACATCTCCAAGGCGTTATGGTTGTCATGCTACGATGACGATGTCAGAACCACAGCAGGTTTGACACTTAAGACCAGCTGCGCAGTGTAGGTGATAAATTATTACAATCGCCAATTAAATCTCAAAAACTCTCCGACCCACAGGTGCGCCCCGCAATCCACCAGAGAGCGGGAATCCACGTTTTCCAGACACCGATGTCAAATACAAGGAGCCGAGATCTGAACTGACAGAAACCGGACCGGAACAATTAGACAACATGGCCACAACAGACACGTATCCTTGTTTATTTTAAGGCCTACGTCCGTCACAAATTCAGCCTACCGTGCTATCTATTCTCTTAAGCTTCCTTGTAAGACAAGCTTTTTCAACACTCGACCAACCCATTTTTATTAAGCTCCAAAGATGGGCAGCATATTACTTGAAATGTTGGCTTTATTTACGCTAGGAAGATCCCTAACTATCACGTCTTTTATCATCCCGATCCCACCACGATGGAAACATGGCGAAAATATGTGAATGACAAGAAAGTTGAAACCTCAAATTATTCTGTGCAACTGGTTAAGGATATTTCTAAGTGAAAGATGATGCACCGCCCAGGATCTCCATCTTTGAACAATACGAAACATAACGATCAAATTAGTAGAAAACCGGAGCGACGGAATACGTGTGAGCGCTATATTACGATCAGCATTCCAGACAAATGGAACGCATATCAGTGACGGGTCTTCGGTTTTCAGATGGCACGTTTAATATCCGTTGGGCATTTCGATCTGCAGGGAATTGATTGGAAAACGACGGAAGCCGGGCGGGGGGGGAGACCAAACAAACATCGGTCAACAGTCTTTCTGATAAAAACTTAACTTAAGGCGATGCATGATAAGAGGTAGTGCAAAAAAACTGTACACACCTCCCTATCCCTATTCCCTCAGTGAGCCCACAATTATTATGGAGGAGTTTCACATTGTACTGGGTTTTTATGCTGAAATATTCATCTTGAACACCGTTCGGTGCAGTTCACATCCCTACCCTTCCTAAGACGTAAACTTCTGCATTTTCTGAACTATACCTCCGCAAAGATGTGGAAACTAGTCTAAGGTCACCCAGCCATCCATGACGCCATAATAACATTTTTGAAGTGCCGCCAATTCGTTGCCTACGCGGCGACCAAGCCCAATAAAGTATGATTGATAGTCGTTCATATCCGTCGTTCATGAGCGTGATT